AAACTCTTCGAGCCGGGGTGGCAACTCTAAGGTATGAACTGGACAAATTTTGGTTCACCGGTTTGACTTCACATGTACCCACTAAGGAAGAGAAAATAGAGAAATATAAGTTTGGTGGGCATGCATTCTACATGAGTTAATGAACCGGGGGTTAGTCTTGCCCGAAGTGACAAACGACCCGATTTTAAAATATTTCTATTTATAAATAAAAAATTTTCTACAATTTAACCATCATTGTTTTTTTCTTAATTTTCGCGCTGAAATGACATCTTGACAAAACCCGGTGTGGTATTTCGGCTTTCATAAGGGGCCTATATAAAGGTTTGAACGGATGTTAAGCGAAACTTTTACATTATTGGCTTTTGGTTGCACTTGGGTCTTTTTATTTTTAAAGCTCAATGGCTCCCAAATACTCTCCTAAGATTTTTGGCTCATTTAGATCATCTAAGAGGTCGATCTTTATTGACTTTGAAGTTAGGTTGTTAGAAGAGACTTGTGCTTACAACACAAGTGTCATTTTGAACCAAATGATGCAGATGTCTGGGCTACCGCTTAACTAGGAAATGACTTAATCTTTCATTGAGAATAGTTTTGTTGTGGGCTTAGGCCGCTTTTGTGTACCAAGCTTCGCCCAATTTTCAACTTCTATGGCATGATATCGGCTCAAATGAAATCAAATTCAATAGTTGAGGTAATGACATAAGTAATTTACTTGCGCAGAAGAGGTGCTCCTTAATCTCACGATTTGTATTTGCATATGTTCTCTCTTTGAGTAGATCCAAATGGATAAGTGGCCTTTAGCACTACTCAGAAGTTTCATCTAATCGATCTGAAGAACAAGAATAAAAGATTAGAAGCCCAGGTTCTTGAGGGGTTTCTGTGATGATTAAGGTATCTTGACTAGAGCTACTGGAGGCTTGTATAAAAATAGTAAAAAAATTTCCTCTCAGATGAAAGCAATGGAGCAGGTTATTCTCAGTTGGCATTTGTTAGTAGTTCAATACACTGACTCTTTAACTATAAATCAGGTGTTGAACTAGAGAAATTATGACCCAATGACATAAGAGATGTGGAATGCTTATGATGAGGCTGAGGAGAATAGACAGCTAGAGAAGGCAGAGCTGCTCTTGAAAATGGCATCAAGAAAGAAGAAGAAAGCTGACAGTTTTCTCGTTGGATGAACAGAAGAGGGAATCAAAGAAGCTAGCCTGTCAAGGGGGCAAATACCAGGTTCAGATTTCATTCATTAGGTTTCAAAAGACTTTTATCGTTATTCATAATAAAGTCACAGAGGAATTATACTGAGCGAACGAAAACCTCCCTCGATATTCATAGGTGATTCAGGAGATAATGCAACTCCCTCCTTTTTCCCCATAGATACTGAAGGATCACTGAGGTGCCTTTCGACACACTAAATTCTTCGGCCTCCTTCGAATGGTTACATCCCCATTTCCCAAAGATCCAAAGCAAGTCGTCGGTCACCACTGATGCAAGTTGAGGAACAGCCCGGTGGTGAAGATTCGGGGGAAAGCTCTATCTCGTATGAGGCAGATGAGCACTGGAGAAAAGGCATAGTTGTTTCCTCTTACACTTTCCTCCCAATCCCACCAGGAAGCAAAAAAGGGGGGCATGATCGTTGGATTCATCTGCAAAATGGGTCAAAGGTTTACATGAACTCTGATTCAAGTATTGGCTCGGTTAACATTAAGAGGGTCTGGTTCCCCTTAAACGAGTTAATCCTTCGCTCAGGTGTCATTGATATAAAGAACTCTCTCCTAGTGGGATCTGCTAACAAATTCATTGAATCTAAGTAAAAAGCCATATCTTCATAAATTGTTACAATTTGTTCCAATATTTTCATAACTTTTTGAATAGAAGTTGCATGTGATGTGCTAGCTTCATTAGTTATGCAACAACTAATTGTGCAATATGACTTAGTAATAACACAACGTCATCTTTTCTCTTTTTCTCTTACAGTTGGATTGACTAGATCCAACTTCATTGAGGATAGGGTTTGACCCTTCAATTGAGTCATCTGTTTGCTCAGAATTTACATGCTCAACCGTGTTGATGTGCACTCTCTCACTTAACCGTCCATACATGATCATCGGTGGTCACGACCCCACCAAATATTAGATTCAACTTCTCTTTAAGCTTAATGTCAATACCACTAAATTTGAACTTCCTGACATTTAGAACGACCTACAAATTAATTGATAGTTAATATATTGATATAATTGAAATGACTACGAGAATTTGAATTATTTTGAACGTCTAATAATTTGTTGCATTTAATCTCTCAGTCCGCCATTTTTCTAAAGCATAAATGGTTCGTTTTATGGGATCTCAACTAAAGTCTGTAGCTCCTCACTTTAACTCATTCCATAATTTTTATTTCTTCTTTTAACTGATTTCATTTGTTCTTCATTTGCATTCTATCATACTCCCTTCCAATTCTTTCTTTAAATTTTTTATTATGTTTTGCCATCCTTTTTTTAAAATAGGTTGTTGACCTATTTTCCAATTCCACCTCATTTAAACAGAGATCGTAAAAGATTAATTTTATATCTTTTTACTAAATAGTAGCCAATAAACATTCTTTTATCCTGCCCATCACTATCACAAAGTATGAAGACAAGAAATCAACATTATTTTCTACAAACAAAAAGATAAACTCATTTCAACAAAAATTTCTACATCACTTGGGCAAATGAAACAGTTCATTTATCGAACAACACTCCAAACATACGCCGGCCAAATGGCCTCAAAGTGACCAAACAACACTCAAATTCCATTTACCAAACATCAATGACAAATACCATTGTATAAAACAAACAATAGTAAACAAAATGGGTCAAAATTTAGAGCTAAAAATTTCACCAAAATTTAACCATAGACCCATTGACCAAACCACAATGAAGAATCCACTTACCAAACAAAAATGACAAGTATCACAAAATATCAAACAAACAACAAAAATAAAGGCGATCGATATTTAGAGTCGCAATTCTATCATCTAAATTATGCATGATTGAAACTCTACCTTACCCTTAATAAACCAGCCCTCTAACCCAAACCCAACAGCTCCAAATAGACTAGTGAAACCCAAACCCAAGCACCAATAAAACAAAGTGAATTCAAGAAAGCAATCAACATCTCCCTAACCCTTTCTCCACAAGGCACAAAAGTGTTAATAGCCAACTTCATCATAAAACCCCAACCCAAGAAGCACCAATATAACCAACATCAGGGATTTTCATACAATGAATTAGGAAAGATGAAATCATTCCACAAAAATTGTACCCCATGTCAATTTTTTCAGCAAAGACAGACCACAAAAAACAAAACCACGAAGAAACGAGTAAAGGTAGAGATGAAGTTATGCATTCCTAGTTTCATGGATGAAGTCAGTCCCTAAAAAACCCTCACACAGCTAAAAACCACATGTATAAGTAAGTAGACTAAAACTCACATTTTCCAGCATAGCACAAAATATACTAATAGCCAAATTTGTTAAAGTAAAACCCACAGAGAACAACATTATAAATAATATACATCTATAATCTAGCAGACTACTATACCCTGCCTCAAATTATTTTTAAAATTCTTTCTCAGAGAAATGGAATCAAACAAATAGATGGGTTGCATAAGTAATGCACAAACTCCATTAGTCTAAACCTCCTTCAACTCTAAAAAATAATGTATAAAGGTATAAACAGCTGCACAAGTATCGAATATGCCTCAGCAAAGATAGAGATGACATGAACAAACCCATAGAGAAACAAGTAGAAGGAAGAAAGAAATGTAAGATTTCATTAAAAAAAAAAATAATTACTCTCGATTAAGATCTTGTTGCACAGAAGAATTTTTATGGCATTGTATGGATGAGTACATGCTTCGTGTGCTCAATAGAACCCTCGCAGGGATAACTGTCATTTTACCTAAACAAAATCGTGGGCCACTGGTGGTTAATCACTACATAAAAATGGAGAAATATTTGCGTGCGTAATACGCACGCAACTCTGCGTGTATTCTCCATTAACCCCGAAATACCATCATAATAACTTATGAATAATATCTAAATAGAACCCGCAAAGGTTATTGGAAGGTTGTTATGGTTATATGTTATTGGAATTAATACCTCAATAACCTCCCAATAACCCCCAAATGACCACAAAGCAGAAGTTATTGCGAGGTTATTATGCACGCAACTCTGCATGCGTAATACGTACACAAATATTTCCCATAAAAATGAGGGCATGTTTAATTAAAAAAACCTTCAACGTGATAAACAAGTACGTCAAATCACTCGTTCACACTGCAATGCTAGGAAAACACTGCACCAAGCAGACCATAAAAGTTTAAAGAGATGGGTTCGACTTTTATTTATAATTTAAAAAAAAAAAAAACATTGACAAGCTAATTGATTTTTAATCGAATACGATTAATTTATATAAAAAAATACAACCCAATCAATTAAAAATTTATTGATTATATATTCAAAATTCTATTTAAAAAAAACCCAAAATAAAATTTTAAGCACCTATACATGCTTCAATCATCCAGTTAAAATCTTAATGAAATTAAAAATATTTATATTAGAATTTTAATGTGTTCTTTGTGAATTTTAAGCACACACCCACACACACACACACACACACACACATATTACAATTGCTCATGTCCCGAACCTAATTCATAATTGCACCACAACTGGTCAAATGCACAAATACTCAAAATTTAAATATAAGTAAAATAAAATAGAAGGCATCAAAGAAGAAAAGAAAACTGAATAATTTCAGTCCACCTTTACCACTACCTACAACAAAACTCTTCGTTAACTTTTACAATATATAGTAAATTCACCAAAAGATTAAATTAGGGACATTTACAAACCTACCACAAAATTCCCATGTATTTAACATAAATAACACCTAAACTTTTTTTTTTATATTAATAACATGCAAATCATTCATATCACATACAAAATAAGGTGGCATGTATGAAAACGTTAAAATTTAGGCATGTAAATACATAAGAATTGAGTGGTATGTATGTAAATCTTGCTAAAGTATATGATGTTATGTATACAAGTATTTCTAATGTACAAAAGGTGGATTTGAGTTGTTAAGAGAGCGTGATGAAGTTTTTTAAGGAACGGACCAAACTTGGCGGCCAGTGTTTCTTCTCTCTTACGTAAGACAGATCCGCATAGCAAGGATCAAGAATGGTGGCAATGGTGAACTGATTCTCGGCCAGTAATGGTGCATGTCTATCAGTGTAAAGTGCAGCTGCAAGAGCTGCATGGATCTCTGAAAACAAGTTGATTTGTTAAAAATAAAAACTAGTTTTTAAAAATAAAAATAAAAAATAAAAGTGATGCCAAACAGTTCACTAATATATTTTTACATTATTTAATTAAAAAATAAATCAAATAATCAAAATAATTTTTTGATGATTTGAACATTTTTTCAAAATATATTATATTTTAATTCAAAACAAGATCTAACAAAATAAATCAGAATGAAAAGGAAAAAAGCAAGAACAAAAGTGAGAGTTCAAATGGCCTATAAGAAAATACTAGATTTTATGGGAGTATATATTATCTAGTGGCTTGCTTATTTGGCTGCTTGTAATTAAAAATATGTTTTCAAAATAAACAGTTCATTTTCACTCATTTTATGAATTAAAATAAAATCATCACATCCGAGTAATTTTAGTAGTGTTCATAGAGCTTAAAGTCAATAATGTCTTCAGGAATCTACAAAAACAATTACCATCACAACATGTTTGGTAGCCTCAAATAATCCGATGATCGGTACCATATGTTTTTAGTCATAATTCAGAGAGAATATTGTGTACACCAGACGTACGTGTAGATCGTGGTATTCAGGTGGTATTCGGGTGATATTGCACCTTAATACCACCCCAATACTAACAATATCACCATACTATGCCAATACCATTGCATACAAGCATAATATTTTTATCATAGTTCAAACTACATTCTGAAACTAAGGGGCAGTTTGGCACCACTTTTATTTTTTATTTTTACTTTTTTATTTATGTTTTTATGACACTAAATAGGATGCAATGGAGAAAAAGGATTCATGTAGCCAACCACGTAGTGGGATTAAGGCTTTGTTGTTGTTGTTGTTTGTTTTTTTATTTATGTTTTGATTTGAAACAAAAAATGTTTGATAAATAAGGTTGTATTTTCGAACATTCAAAACATCTAAAAGTTATTTTCAATATTTTTAAAAACATGTTAAAAATAAAAAAAAAGAATATATTAAACAAACATATTTTTAAAAATAAAAATAAAAATAAAAAACAAAATTGATTCCGAAAAAAGCCAAAGTAACCACCATACCAGGATAGCCTTTCAGAGATATTGAAACATCTTCCATCTCTGTAATAGCCTGCTGCCTGTCACCAATCTCATACAACAGCAACGCCCTTCCAACCCTTGCATATTCTGTGAATGCAAAATCCTTGTAATCATTAATTATCTGCAAATTGTCAACTGACCGTTAGTGGTTTAATCTTATATACAGAAATTGAGCTTAAATCAGGTTTTTATGTAATGAATATATTTTAGTAACCAGAAGGAAACGAAACCAGAGGAAAAAAGAGCAAGAAAATGCTCAATAATTACATGTTTTATTAAAGAGTAAACAATGGCTAAGCTATGTGTTTCAGTCAATGTGTACCATGCGTCAAGCAACACTGAAAGCAAGAGCATGAATTGAAGAGCAAAATGATTATGCTTTTGAAGGCCTTTCTTAAATTCAACGGCTCTTCATTTCTCTCTCCTTTTGTGCTCAAATGTTGTTTTAACTTTTCTTTTATCCGGTGGCAGCGGGGGGCCTAGTAGGCGGCCAACAACAATGGATTGATGTGCGGGACGGTAGACGACTGGTTTTTTAGGTGGTGGTGACGATCAAAGGCAGGGGAGACGGGCAGCCGGTAAGGGCGACAGGCGGTTATTAGCAGGCAGCAAGGGTAGCGGCAGCAGCGAACTGTAATCTGAGGCAGATGTGAAAGTGAACAACGGCTAAGGCGACGGCAGTGGTGAACTGCGAACGAGGCGGTGGTGAATTACGGACGAGGCCGCAGCGGCGGCGGCGGCAGTGAGCAGCTGGCGGCGGCGGCTGGTGGTCATGTGGCGAAGGGTGGCGAGATGTGGCGACGGGCGGTGGGTTGTGGGGGGCTTGCATATAGCATATTATAAGAACTTTGAAATTCAAATTCGACCAAAACGCCCGAATTCTAAAAACAGCAAAAATGAACTACGGTGTAAATTTCAAATTCATTCATAATTTACATTGTATTTATAATTCTTCATACCAAACACATAATTTTCTTAAATCCCTGCAAAAGAATTACAGTAACCACAAGTTCACTCAACCAAATAACCCCTGACAGGCCATGAAATTCAATGAAATCTAAAATAGCCAAATGCAATACAGGAAAAACCACAATTGCCACTTTGGCGACTCAAACAACAAAGCCTAATAACACAATACATAAGAGATTATAATACCCATCACCCAAAGCTACGACCCAACCATTACCAATAAATAAGTGAATCAAAACTAGAGAACCAACAAACATGCGATATAACTACAGGAACCAAATAATTAACAAATCTTCAATACCCAATCACTATTATTGGGAGTATAGATTGAATAGCTCAAATGAACATACAAAAACAACAATAACAACAACAAAGCCTTAATCTCACCACGTGTGGGGTCGGCTACATGAATCCTTTTTCTCCATTACGTCAAAATCATAAAATTAGCAACAGCCCATAAGACTAAGGGCATCATTATACCCTCACCTAAAATAATAAAACTGAAATAAAAGCTATAAATTAAAAATACTACCAATAATGAAATTAAACTAAACTTAACTTGTCGATATCATATATTTGCTCAGCATTTTCATAGAATATAAATTGAAAATTTGCAAACCTCTATTAACATGCTATGCACCCCCCACACCACTTAGAAATGCTATACTTAGTCCATCTACTTCTGAGGCAATGGCTTGAGGTTAGTGATCAACATTCCTCAAGTATCATTATAAAGCAAACTAGAGTTTTATAAGTGCAAGGTAACCGCTCCATTTGGCGGTAAAGCATAAATTTTAACCACCAAAGTGAAAGCTATCCAAGAAAAAACTTGCAAGAAGAAATTACTAGAATTCATTATCATAGACCGATTTCATGCTTCTAAATTGATTCACCGACTTTGATATTTCACCTAATTTGCATCAGGTGAGACTTCTTTGTACTTAGCATTCATAAGATTCATGAACAAGTGGGACTTGTTCCTGTCACGCTTCCATTTATGCAAATTCTCCAATTCTTGAGTAAAAAAGTCAATATCTCGCTTTCTATAGGAAGGAAGGGTTTAAATCTGACCATTGATCAATGAGACTGTGGAAAAACAGGAAGGAACGGGCTCTAAACGGCTGCTTTCCTTGATGGGCAAGCCGGCCACCTACAAACCTTGGAAGATTGAATTGGGAGATAATTTTGAAAACTTCTTAATTAGTTTTATTCTCTTCCTATTTCTGTTTTTGTTATTTTTATTTCAGAATTATTTCCTTTCCAAATTTAGATTAGATATATTTGATAAGTTTCTAAATTTAAAGGTATTTATTTCCCTATATACATACCCTATATGATAATAGTGAAATCAAGTAATTTTTTTCTCGCTGCAAACCTCTTTTCAATATGGCATTAGGGAAATGAAACAAATTCTAGATCTCTTTTCAGCAACCGGAGGCTCTCCAACTGCCGTCCAATGCCGAAATCCACCTTGCAGCCACCTGCCTTCCTGCAGGTCCTCCGCCAGAGTCTCTCTCTACAGCCGACAGCCTGCAGGCACTCCATAGCCAGTCTCCTGCTTTCCTGACAAGCAGCCGCAGGTAACAGAGCTGCTCCTTTCCAAAGTAGATTTCGTCAATCTACCACAACAGAACTACCTCCTTCCCGTAGCCTACAGACCCTCTGCAGTGTTGCTGCTCCCGGGCAAGCAGAGCAGCCACAGAAGCAGCCAGCAGACGTTCCTCACTGCTCCAAATATTCATAATCTCCTGCAGCATTGTGGGATTCCTATTCCCCTGCGGCAAGAAGCAGACAAGAATCCTGCAGCTAGTAGCAGCCAGTAGCAGCCAGGAATTCTTCCCTACCCTAAACTTGTGTAGGACTTATAACAAAGTATGGCATGAAGATGTCTAGCTCCACTGAAGGTTATTTCTGAATTAGAGACCAAGAATTCCCTCCAAATGGCCCCAAAACTCTAATTTCATCACAGATCATAAACTCAATGGCCATAATTTCCTTCAATAATCTCGATCAATGTTTATGTATATTTGTGTAAAAAGAAAAGTAACATCTCACAGGAAAGAGCAAAGTTCCTAAGCTCATTGATCCTAATCATCGCACATGAAAAATTAAGGATCATATAGTCCTTTCTTGATTGATCATTTCTATAGCCACATAGGCTGAATTTTTTTTTTTTTGTTGTTGTTTTATAAAACAGCATAGGAAATTTGGGAAGCAGCTCATGAGACTTATTTAAGTACCAAAATAACAGTAGAATTGTTTGAGATTAAGACAAAACTGTATGAACTCTGATAAGAAGACTTAAATGTGACTCGATACTTCAACACAAGAACAAATTATTGATTATAATAAGATATGTATGATATTTTTGGAAATGCCCTCAAGATACTATGATGTATAAAATACTATGATGTATAAAATAATAGTCATAAAGAAGAGGGTGATCAAGTTCTTATTGGGTCTACATAAGAATTTAGATGAGGTAAGAGAAAAAATCATGTAGATGAAGCTCTCCCTACCACTAGGAAGCCTTTGTTGAAGTCAAAAGAGGAGAAAGTAAGAAGAAGCTCATGATGGCAGCGAGTGTGGTTTCATCTAGCACTGAAATCTCAATCTTATACACACATAACTCCTCCCATGAGTGGAAGCCAAAAAAAAACATCCCTTGTGTGAACATTGTAACAAACTTGATCGCACAAAAAATAAATGCTCGAAATTGCATGGAAAACCTTCAGACTGAAAATCTGGACATGGAAAGAAAGATCAAAAGAAAAATGCTAAGGTTGCTACCACAACCGAAAAGTCTTGTAAACCATTCACCAAGAAATAGCTTTAAGTACTGAAAAAACTTCTTTAAGGTAATTTGGAAAAACACACCAACCTTTTGAGACAACAAAGTAATATATCATTCTCTCATCTTGCCAGTAAATAGGAGATTTAGAACCTTGATCATATGACTGGAGACATCAATGCTCTAGTCAATTATCAAGAAGCTTCTACATCTAGATCGATAAAACTAATAGATGGATCACACACAAAAATTGTTGGGAAAGGAAACGTGGATCTCTCTAAGGATATTGCTCTTCCTCTATCTTCTATATTCCACACTTGGACTGCAATTTAATTTCAATCAGTAAACTTATTCATGATATGAAATATATAACTAAATTCTTTATAAATTCTTGTACATTTCTAGTGGTAGAATTAAAGAAGGTGATTGACATTGTTGAAATGCATCAAGATTTATACGTGCTTAAGAAAAGTCTCTCTCTAAACACACAAATGATTCCGCGTTCATATTTACCTCAAATTTTTGAGTCTATACCTATTGAAAAATAAATAATGTTATGAAATTGTTGTGTGGTCATCCTAATTTCAATTATATTTCTAAATTATATCATCATTTATTTATGAATAAAACACCTAGTATTTATCAATGTGAAATTTATCAACTTGCTAAACATATTAGAAATAGTTATCTCATGACCCAGTATAAACCTTTACACCCTTTTCTATTACTCGTGATATTTTAGGGCCTTCAAAGGTGAAAACCCTAGTTGGGTATTTTCCAATGAAGAAGAAATCTAAACAACCAAAATCTTCCAAATCTTTCATAACATGATTTAAACTCAATTTTAATGCAAAATTCAGATCCTCGAAATTGATATTACAAAGGAATATTTCAACTCCATCCTTAGGTCTTATATTTCAAAAAATAAAAACAGCCATGTGAGTTCATATATTGATACCGCACAACAAAATAGCATATCTGGGAGAAAGAACATGCATCTTCTTGAGGTATCCCGCTCAATTAAGATGCCTTATCAAGTTCTAAAATATTTTTTGAAAAAATAATTCTTACTGCAACATAACTTATCAATTGAATGTTTAGTTGGGTGCATAACTTCAAAACACTACTTCATGTTTGATGGTGTTATCTATCCTCACATCAGAGCTTTCACTTCTACTACACTTAAAATCTGTAGGTGTCTTTGTTCACCGTCATTCCCCAAACCGCACAAAACTTCACTCTAAATCTATCAAGTGTACTTCCCTTGGGAAAGCCTCCAACAAAAAGGGGCACAAGTATTACCCTCATGTTACCAAAAAATTAATTCTACTATCTCAATTATGATGTTCAAGAGAGTGCAA